GAGAAATGGAATGTTGCAGCACATAATTTTCTGGTACTGCAGAGTACAGATACGTAGCTCTTCAGTCAAGCAGTATTTGTACCTTGGTGTGACCAAATTTGTACTGGGTGTGGTCCACATCGATTGACCCAAGGAGTTTCTCGGAAGCTTTCTTGCTGTCAATGAACTGTCCCTCAGGGATGGCACTGGCATTAAGCACCTTGTACCTATGGGAGGAAGTAGATTATGAATAACAGATTCCTGGAAGCTCAGTCAAACCTGTAGCAACTGATTCCATTGTTTAGTTTTTCTGCAAGAGAAGTCACTAGTGGAAGTAAGCTTGAACTCTGCACTATTTCTTAGAAATGACGTTTTTGTGGGTAAATGTGGTTTTAGAATGAAGCAATCACTTTCCTTAATCCACAAATCCTTGACACATTTAATACTGCTTTTCATAAGTAACTGCTGATATATAAGGTGTTTCCCATGCCTTATAAGGCACATTTAATGCCTTATCTTCAAAGGAGAACTCTATGTGCAAGAACAAAATGTGAAACAATTCCTCATCCAAAATAGTTGTAGTACATGCTCTTACTGTGCTTTGCAGCTGATACAGAGAAAGAAGAAAAACCTAATTTTATTTAGTTTTCTAAAAACTTAGTCTAGTGTATTTTGCAGCTGCTTTATTCACATTTATATCCTGATGCCTACAAGTCATTCTTCTTTGTTATCTGAAAGTTAACTAAGTCCAAGCTAGTCAACTTTCTGGATGCTTTATGACATACTAAAGAATTAATAAAAGACTCCAAATTGCCCTTTGGTGGTGGCTCTTATAGTCAGCTATAGAAAGAAATTAGATAGTAATTTGGACAATTGACTTTAGTATGACTGAAGATAGGTACTATAAAACTTCCATAACATCCACAGTATTTAAAACAGTTAGGAAATAGAAATTATTCAGTAAAGATGTGGTAAAAATGAATTAAATGGAGTCTGACCTCTGTTTAAAGTCTGCATAAAGTATTCTGCTTGGGAATCCTTTTCTGCAAATCCTGATCCCTTCCAGCACGCCGTTACAGCGCAGCTGGTGCAGCACCAGTTCATGCTCCATGGCACCTAACAAATGACATTATGAATTTGTACTTCATTGTACTGCACAGAGAATAACACATTTCTCGCATGTTTGAACCTGAACTACTTACCAGGTGTTTTTGTTTCATTGGGAATGAGGCATCGCACAAAATGGGGATGTGTGCTTCGCAGATTGCTCATCAGTTTGTTTAAATTTTCCTTAAGAATAAGAGTAAAGATTATATTTTAAAATGTTACAATCTCATTATTAGATGGAGTAAAGCTGCTGCATTAAGATCATGATCATAGTTTTTTGGCAATTCTGTAGTAATTCTTCCAATTTAATGAGAACCCTTTGTTACAAAACATAGGCCTTTACTCTTTCTGAACATAAATATTTTATATATTAGATTGATATAAAGCTTTTTTTCCTGTACTGATTTTTCTGTATCTTTTTCACAGTTTAGTAGAGTTTATAGTACTTATTCTGCAGTACCCGGAAAAGAGCTGAGACAGTCTGGAAAGAAGACCCCTTCTTCTTGCCACCTTTCTTGCCACCGCCACCGCTCTCTGAAAAATAATATATCTACTTTTAAAAGAAATGAATAACAAATGTGGTTAGAATTTTAAAAAATATGTATTTTTATCTTAAGAAATACGAACTGTAGTGATATGAGAAAAAATAACAAATTCAGACAGTGTTTATAATTACAATATAGTGTTTTTCAGATAATAGTAGAAGAAAATCTAATGACTTCTCTTAACACAAGTTAAGAAAATGGAAACAGAAAATAAATGCAATATCTTGCACAGTAGCATAATTAAGGAATTAACTCATGAATGAATACAGCAAATGCAACAACTTATTAGTCTTTAAGTATCTTTATATCTAAAATTACACATAAATCTAGTGCCACTCTTTTGAGTTTGATATTACTTCCTGAAGTATTTGGGAATGCCTCTTACTATAGAAATTATCCAGTGTGTCAGTAAGTCTTTGTAAATTCTTTAGTGTAGCTGTCTGATCATAAAATCAACATGTTTATTAAAGTTTATAGGAAAATGTGATATTCTTTATTAATCTGAGTGACTAAATTCCAAAAAACAGACAAGATTTTAGACTCACAATCTTTTCATTATTTTAAGAAGCCTTTTATATATATAAGCCCTGTTTTCTGTATATTTTAAACTCTAGTGATCAAAGTAATACTTGCTACATTTACTTATGAATCTGGAAGTGCTACATTTATGTAACATAAATATTAATGTAAATTGATGCAAAATATTATTGCAAATATTTATTTATTATTGTAGAATTTATTTAAAATAAATTACCCGCTTCTGCCCCACCAACAGAGGCAAACAGTAAGGCTAATGTCTTCAGGGATGATTTCTGGTACAGCCCCACGACAGTTTCGTTCAGGGGGTCCTTGTTCTTCTCAAGCCATCCAGAGATGTTGTAGTCCACTGTGCCAGCGTAGTGCACCAAGGAGAAGTGGGCCTCAGCCTTGCCTTTGCCAGGTTTAGGTTTCTGGAAGTTGTTGGACTTGCCCAGATGCTGGTCATAGAGCTTGTTCTTGAAAGAGGTGTCAGTTGCCTTGGGGAACATGCACTCCTCTTCTAGGATGGAGAAGATGCCCATGGGCTGAAGGAAAATACGAATATATAAAGAAAGAAAGTCAGGACACGGGAGAGATAATATAAGAAAAAGGAATGGAAGATAGTGATGATACAAATGTGTCATCTCTTTTTTTTTTTTCAGAAATGGCATATTTTTAGTAGATGTTTCATCATTTATATGAAAACAAGTTCACAGTTCATTTCAAAGTTTTAATGTAGTACAGATCTATCATGTAAACATTCATGTTGTGCATGTTAGTTGAAGATGAAAAGTAAAATGAATGAAATTATCAGCATTTAGGTGTAACAAAGAGTTTACATTATGTAAATGCTTTTTTTTTTTTTTTTGAAACAAGATAGAAAATTCCTTCAAACATTAAAGTAGAAGCTGCTCAGTTTATTAACTCACTCAGCAGAAATAAAAGAATACAAGCGTTTCAGTGTAAATTCTAAAACAGACTTACTACTGTGACTAGGACTGAGAATTTTGCCCACCTGTGAATATATACTACTTGACAAAATCCTACAGGTAGTGATATAAGGTACAACTTAACCACCTCACAATCAGACAGGTGAAGACAAATATACAGAGCTCACTGACCAGAAAAAAACAAACATGCCTTGCATTAAGCGTGGGTGCCATGTATTGGTATAGTCTAAATTTTAGCATAGAAAAATTCCTTTTACATCTGAAAAACTATTAAGTGCAGGAGTCCCAAATACCTTTTCAATGAGCTCAATGCAGGCAGCCAAGTCCATGCCAAAGTCAATGAACTCCCATTCGATGCCTTCCTTTTTATACTCCTCTTGCTCCAGAACGAACATGTGATGGTTGAAGAACTGTTGCAATTTCTCATTGGTGAAGTTGATGCAGAGCTGCTCCAGGCTGTTGAACTGCAGAATGCAAGGTTATGTATGTAAAATAAGTTCAGTTCCATGAATACATGAGATTTTCTAATACGTCGCACTTTCAACCTGTTAAGGTCTCACTGAATCATGGAATGACTTGGGTTGGAAGGAATTTTAAAGATCATCTAGTTGCAACCCCCACTGCTGTGGGCAGGTTTGCCACCCACTAGATCAGACATCACAGGGCCCCATCCAACCTGGCCTTGACCATATCCAGGTACGGGGCATCGACAGCATCTCTGGGCAACTTGTTCCATTGTCTCACCACACTGAGAGTAAAGAATTTCCTCCCATTCTTTTAGTTGAAAATCAGCCCCGTTGTCCTATCTCTATGTGTCTGTGTAAAAAGTCACTCTCCACATTTTTTGTAAGCCCCATATAAGTCCTCGAAGATTACAACTTGTTCCCCTCAGAGCCTTATCTTCTCCAGGATGAACAAGCTTATCTCCCTCAGTCTTCATGAGGGAGTTGCTGCAATCCTCTGAGCATCCTCTTGGTCCTCCATGAATGTGGACCTGGAGTGGTGACTGAAGCATTCCATCCTTTCATATATTTACACCTTCAAGCCCTAGCCTGAACATGTTTACGAACACTGGAAAACATTCAGAGCTCACACCAAAATGCTAGTTATCTCGGTACTTTGCCTTCTTGGATTAATCTATACTGATGGTCTATTCCCAAGCATTCAGGGGGAATCTGGCTTCTGCATTAACAAAATCTTCAAGAATAAAAGTTTCAATTTCCTCACAATCTATTTTAGCCATCCGTTATTAAACATTCTGATAGCACTTTTAAGTACTATTTTTATTGCTGCATGCAACAAACCTACTGCCTTTCTAAGTTAAGTACTTTGTGAGCTAAGTACTGCATAATGGAAAAAAAAAAACTATTCCAGTCCAATGTCCATTCCATTAAACTTGTAAGTCTATCCTCTTACATCAAAGATCTCAAAGCCAGCGATGTCCAGGACACCAATGAAGTACTGCCTGGGCTGCTTGGTATCCAGCTGCTGGTTGATGCGAACAACCATCCACAGGAACATCTTCTCAAAGACAGATTTTGCGAGGGCACCCACTGAGTTGTATACCTAAACAAATATAGAATAAAAAGTTAACATCCATGATAAAAGCAGAAGTTCCACAGTTTAAATTCATGCCATGTGTTTTCTGTCAGCTGTTTATTACCTGCTGCACGGTTTGACCCTTGGTCACATACTCATTCCCAACCTTGACACGGGGGTAGCACAGCGCCTTGAGCAGGTCTGCTGAGTTGAGACCCATCAGGTAGGCAGCCTTGTCTGCAACTAAACAAACACACAACCAGATCAAGTATAAGCTCCCCAGTAGATGTATCTTTTAGTAATCTGGAATGGTTTCTGCATAAATCATATTCTATAAATCATATTTATTCATATTATTCATAAATCATCTTCTGAGTCACATACTTACAAGTGTTGCACTCTCTCTTGATTTACTGTTTAATAGTGTTTTTTTTTTTTAAATGGTTATTTAAAAAAACAAACAAATTCCAGTTGAGATTTTTAAACATAAAATTCTTCCAAATGAATTTACAATGTCCAAGCAAATTTTAAAGTGGCTAGCTGAGCAAAAGGCTATTTCCTTAGCCTTTTTCCAAGTTACAATTTCTGAACAAACAGAAGAAGAAACAGATTGGTAACAAAATATGCTGTACTCATTGGAGTTAATGAAATTCTATGGGCATTAGAGAGAAAAATTAGTGAAGCGTTATGCCACAAGTTCAAATACAATATCTAATATTATCTAATATCTAATATCTAATTCATAGCAGGACTGCATTTTCCCTAAGGATAAGTTTTAAACACATAGGAGCTATACACAGGACAAATAAGTTTAATAAACTAAGAGAAAGAGGGGGAAGGAGTAGGAAAGAGAAATAAAAAGGTAGATTGGACAAAAAGTGCATAGGAAGCATAGGTGCGTAATTGAATTCCTCCATGCAGAATAAATTGCACCCATTAATCACCAATTCATCCGCACATGATAAATGTTTACAGAGACCAAACAGTTGAAGTCAGCAGTGAGGGGGCAGATGGTGTGCTTCATCAGTGACACCATCATTGCAGCTGTGAAAGAGTGGGTCACTGCTACAGGTGCAGATTTTTATGATTGCAGCATGCAGCCTCATGTTCATTGCTGCAAAAAAGCATAGTTAATGGTGGTGATTGTGCAGCTGACAATTTGGTCTACCAAATAATGCTATTGTTCTCTTTGCTGTAATTTCCAGAGAAATAAATAGGAAGCATTACTTTTGGATCAATCTACAAATGTACAAATCCCAATTTTGAGTTGTTTCTGTTGTGTTATTTATACCTATATATTTTAATTGAATTTATCATTAGAAAAATAGCAAAGCTGAATCTTTGGAGTTTTTTTTTTTCTTTTTTTTTTTTTTCCCAGTCAATATTACAGGGTATTTTTAAAATGTGTAATAGTTCCCTACTTCTCTTTACAACCACAGGAATTATATCTTATATAACTCTTCTGCTTAACATTATACAATGATATATTTTCTAGGTGTAAATAACTGTGGTTTTTAGAAATACTTCCAAAAACCTCTAAGTGAATAAAACCCTGAAAAATTCCAGGGAAAGGAAACACAATACATGCATGTTAGCTGACTGTTTTCAAATGGAAGTCCTGGAAACAAGCTTTAAGTCAACAGAAAATGTAACAGCCACATCTGCACTATTAACTGCTGTTCCTTTTTAACCTCCTGTGTAAATTAAAATGGGACAGTGCTCTTACTGCAGGCATTGAGAGTTGCCTTCAGAACACGGGCTTCAGGGCAGCATCAGGATTCTAGCATATTTTTACACGGAAACAACACCTTCAGGAGGTGACTACCACTGATGACGAATGACAGATAGCTGCCTGGGTACATGAGTGTAAGTCAGTGAGCGCAGCGGTTCTTGGTTATGCGCCAGATGTAGAAAGCAGCCCCTCTTGTCTCTCTTCTGCCTGACTACTACTATGTCAGCCAATGGAAATGTGGTTCAGGATTCCCTGGCCCTTGCATTTGCATAGTTCAAAGCAGTCTGCATCACCCACTGGGTTGTGTTCTTCCACGGAAGACCTCTATTTAGGACAGCCTTATACGCTGCAATAGGAGCATCAGGGGAAAACCGTGGGTGGAGTCAGTGACTCTGAAGAGGAATTACTGCCTGTATTAGCGAGTGTTTCAGTATACATTGTGCTGATACCTTCTGTGCCATCTGGCTCTGCCTGCTCTTCACGCTGCTTCTGCTTAAACTTCAGGTTGCCATAGTGCATGACAGCCCCCGTCAGCTTGTAAATGGCTGTTTTTTCATCAGGAGTGAAGCCCAGGATGTCAATGGCACTCTAACACAGGAAGAAGTGAAGAATGCTTAGCCGTAAATACCATGCCTGCTTCTAGGTCAGAGCCCACCCAAGAAAACTCCTGTGCACTGCTTACATCAGTGGCCATCAGCTCCTCCTGGTCATTAATGCTGGGCACTGTGATCTCCCCTTGACTCACATAGTGATAGTCGTATGGGTTGGTGGTGATCAGCAGCATCTCTGAGAAAAAGGACAAAACACGTACAGAATTGGCATGGAAAAGAACGAAAGAGATTGTTCAGTGTACTGTGCTTGGCGAAGTTCCTACCAATTAGCTCCGGCTTCTTGTTGGACATGATCTGATAAAAGATGTGGTAGCTTCTTTCAGCCTTGAGCTGGAAAGTGACCCTGGACTTCTCCAGCAGATCTGTCAAGAATGGTAGGAGAAACTTAGCACAAAAGGCAAGGACAGTCAGAAAGAACATGACCAATCAGGCCTGGAGAGTCTCTTACAAGTTTCAATGTCAGCAGAAGCCAGCTTGCCTGTGGCACCAAAGTGGATTCTGATGAATTTACCCTGAAAGAATAAAAAATAAGTGACCTAGGTCCACCTTCCCATCTCTGACTGTGAAAATATTTCATTTGTTATGATGGTGAGAAGAAGAGTTGTTTCTTCTTAGGCCAGGCAACAACTTACAAAGCGTGAGGAGTTGTCATTCCTCACAGTCTTGGCATTCCCAAAAGCCTCCAACAGAGGGTTGGCACTGATGATTTGATCCTCAAGTGTCCCCTGAAACAGAAATCTTCTTGTTATGCTTCAGCTCAGAAAACAGTCTGACAGTTGCAGGGTCTTACTTTTAGGAGCTCACCTGCATTTTGCCCGCTGGCTGGTCCTCCTTCTTCTTATCTCCACTAGCTGCAATTGTTGCAAAGTACTGGATGACACGTTTCGTGTT